TACTGTGATGCCCAAAAGTTAGGATCCGGGGTGGGCATTAATATGTTCAGCAGATCGATGTGGAGGTGCATGCATGAGTTCATGGATGGAGAAGTCTGATTCTCAAGAAATTCAGACCCCTCTACATCCTCAAAATTGCCATCTTCCTCGCTCCCAAACAGTGAATCTTCATCAGAGTCAAGGACGATGACCGCGTTCTTATCTCTGACCGGGGCAACATCGGCATCATCGTCATCGCTGTGGATGACGATGACCTCGTCCTCCTTCTTCGCGTCAGAGGTGGAAGATAGGTGAATCACATCGTCCTCAACTCCAATGGCCTGAAATTCTGTCTCAGGGATGATGGAATCGTAAAGAAAGTATTCAAATTCCATGAATTCAGGCGGAGATGTATAGATCTGGGAGAGGAACGATTGTAATCTAGGGTTTGGGAGAGAAGAAGAACCGACAAAGAGAGAGTAGATTAGATCTAAAGAGGGGCGAGAGAGTTTAATTGGGGAGGTGGGCGGGTTGTGTAGATAGGAGGAGTGAATGTGAGGATATTAAATGAGAGGGGTATTTTAGGGAGAATAGAGGAAAAAGCGTACAATGGGAACATCATTCCCGGACAGAGAAAAACGTACAATGGGAGTATCATTCCCGGACGGAGGGAGTATATAAAATTTTATACCCTCCGTTCTTGAGTATTTATCTGTTTTTTATTTTTTGGTCAAAATTAGTAAATTTTGACCACAAATTAAATAAAAATGATATTAGATATTGATACAAAAATAGTTTTATTAGATTTATTATATCAAATATTTTCAAAATATTATTTTATCTAATTAATGTACAATATATATTTTGTTCAATTATATGTCAAAAGGTTAAAATAGTTGACCGAAAAAAGTCAAAACTAGACAAATATTCAGAAAAGAAGGTAGTATTTTTTCTGTCCACCATATATCTTCCCAGACACTATTCACATGGCCAAACTTAACTCACTCTGTTTGCTTATTTTAACCACCCATTTCATAAAATAAAATAGTATTGTCACCTCTAGTTTTGTAGAACTTTTCATGTACTTTTTTGCGATATAAATTTTATTTTAAAATTTTATCCTTACAATCAAATAAATTGAATTGAAAATAAAGTTAGTCAAATCTCATAACGCACATAAGAAGATTTTTGGTGGACGGAAGGGGTATAAAACATGGTATGACAAGACTATATTACTTTTTGAAACTGGTTGTAATAATAAACAAACAAAGTGATTTAAATTTGATTTCGTGAATAATGTCAAAATTTATGGTGGAAAAATGAACTTCAACCCTTGAACTAAAACCATATAAGGACAACCAGCCACCAAATATTTATTGTGACTATTACTTCCCATAACCTAAACTCTATTTTGTTTTATTAATTATTTTGACTTAACACACTCCAAGTAGGGGTAATATTTTTGTACACATTCATTCCAATTCTACTCCCTCCGTTTCAAATTATTTGCAACGTTTGCTTTTTTAGCAATCACGGGAATTTTTGTTTATTTCTACGTTTTCAATGGTTATTTGATAAAATAAAATATTCTTGACACCTCTTATTTCAAAGAATTTTTCATGTAGTTTTTTGATATATAAATTTTATTTTTTATTTTTATATCAATATGTAAATAAAATAAATTGAAAAAATTTAATATTTTACCTCGAGAATACAAATGAAAAATATTTAGGAACCGATGGAGTATTTTTTTATGGGAGTTAAATTAGCCCGTCAGGGCTAGCAGGCTCGGCCTACCGAATTTACAAAGTACATTAATATCATAAATTGGAACACATTACTTTTGCATTTCATATTTGGCTGTGTTATGAATTATGATGTCAATTGGAAGCTACTCTTACAACTATTTTTTTTAGAGTAATTTACTTAAATAGGACTAAAATATAATGACTTTCTCAATATAGGATCATATGTTTTTATTTCCCAATGTAGGACCATTGGTCATTATCTATTAGTCATTATTCAACTAAATGTTCAGCATCACTTGGACATTATTCTTCTCACTGGTCATTATTAAATCTTATTTAGGGAATAAAAAGTTTAAGTCCTACATTGAGAAATGACTTATGTTTTAGTCCTATTTAGTGCAAATTTTACTTTTTTTATAACGTTCTTTTTTCGTTGTGAAATTGTTATCAATGTGACTTCTGTTTTATTTGACGCATTCTTTAATGCAATCTTAAGGTCCAGAAATCTGCTGGGTGACTCGGCCCGCCTAGATGGACGGATAAAAATATATTACGTAGCTTTTAACACATGTAATTTGGATTCATATTTGCAATTACTCTCTTCGTCCGGATTTAATCTCCTCATTTGAGTTTTCTTGATCAAATATTTAACTTTGAACTCGATTTGCTGAAAAAATATACGTAGTACAGAGTATTATGTTTCGATATAAATGTAATATCAATAGTTCTCTTTTAAAATATAATTTTGAAATATTATCTTTCCTATAAAATATATTTATATATAATTCGAGATACATTAAAAAATTTAAAAAGTAAAAAAAACCGTGAGGGAATATTAAATACTCCCTATTAAGCTTGGCCCAAATTGTATGTAGAGAGTGGGTAGCAGCACACTAGTCAGTTGGCCATACATTCTCGGCGAATGATTGGCACAACCACAAACAAAATGGCCCAAATTATTTATACCAAAAATTCATCCTTCTCATCTGCCCAAGATAGATTTCTCGTGTGTCTCAAATTACATTATTTGTTTATTATTTATAAAGTTTAATTTTATTTATTAATATTTCTATCTTTGTTATTAATTTAATAAAAGAATATAGTCATGTCCAAGGCTGGTCCAAAAATATTTTTAAAAAAATGATATTAGTCATGTGCAAAATTCATTTGTAGGGCTCTAATTTGTTTTTTGAAGAGTAGGTATGCTTTAAAAGTAGAGTAATTTTCCTAAATAGGACTAAAACATAATGACTTTTCCAATATTGGATAATATGTTTTTATTTCTCAATTTAAGACTTTTGGTCATTATCAAGTAGTCATTATTCAAGTAAATATTCATCATTACTAGACATTATTCCTTCCATAAGGTCATTATTAAGTCCTACTTAGAGAATAAAAAAGTTTAAATCCTACATTAGAAAAGTTATTATATTTTAGTCCTATTTAGTGCAAATTTCACTTAAAAGTAGTGTTAAATTTAATTTTTAATAACAATTTGAACACCCCGTTTACGTAACCCTAATATTTTTTGATTTTTTTATTAAAACAACACAATATATAATATCATAACGATTGTCCTCATATAGGGGGTGTTTCTCCGTGCGGGTGTTTATTGGCTTATTGCTGATAAGCAATGTTTAATTTATAAGCTGCTTATAAGTCAGATATTTTCTCATGGAAGTAAAATGACTTGAATAATAAATAAGTCATTTTTAAATATTCAAAAATAGTGACGGACAGTTTTGTAAATAATCTGGTTAAAAAGGATAAATGAAAAAAATAGTTTAAAACTAAGTAGTTAAGAGTCTAAGACATTATTTTTTCTGACTTATAAGTAGTTTATAAGTTATAAGTCAGCTAATAAACGCATAGAAACACATGCATAAAGTCAGCTAATAAGTTACTCCCTCCGTCCCAAAAAGTCTTTCCTGTTTCATTTTTTGCGCATCCCATAAAACACTTCTACCGACATCTAAAATGTCTAAAATTTACAACATTTCTTCTTTATTGTGGGTAGAAGTTATTTTGAAAGTTTTTTTGACATTTAAGATGGGATAAAAGTGTTTTATGGAATACGCAAAAAATGAAACAGGAAAGACTTTTTGGGACGGAGGGAGTATAAGTTAAAAACTGCTTATAAACAGTTTTGACTGACTTATATGCATAGAGAAATACTCCGTACATGCATAAAGATAGATATCTACAATGTTTATATATATGTACATCCCATAAGTCAACAAATGGAAGAAGAAGAAGAAACTTAGCTTCAAGACAAATGCCATAAATAATGAGAGACAGGGTTAGATCATGATATAGCAATGGCAAGTTACAAAAGCCATGCCAGCTACCACCAATCCCCCCATCTTTTCATCTATCTCCTTCCTTACCTTGTCTTTTTTTTTTCTTTTTTCTTTTCTTTTCTCTCTGCAGTAGAGTCCATATATATGACCCATCACACCTATAAATACATACCCATCCAATCCCATTCCCATACCAACCCACCACAACCATTGAAAAAAATTCAAAATCCCCATTTTGCCCCTCCCTTGATCATCAAACAAACACATAATAAAACAAAGTCTCCCAAACAAAAAAATAACATGTCAGGGGTGTGGATGTTCAACAAGGGGGTTGTCCGGCTGGTGGAGAACCCGGCAGGGGCGGGGGGCGGAGCGGGGAGGAACAAGGCGCTGGTGCATTTGCCCACGGGGGCGGCGGTGAGATCGTATGTGGAACTGGAGGAGATCTTGAAGGGGTTGGGGTGGGAGAGGTACCACGAAGGCGACAACCCCGACATGCTCCTCCAGTTCCACAAACGATCCTCCATTGATCTCATCTCCCTCCCCCGCGACTTCGCCAAATTTAACTCCGTTTACATGTACGACATCGTCGTCAAAACTCCCAACGTCTTCCACGTTCGCGACGTTTGATGATTGCTTTCATTTTACGGTGGTGGGATGAGTTGAGATGATCGACCCTCCGGCCACCGGCGCGGTGGTTGGTTGGGAAGTAGGGGACGTACTGGTTATTATTATTACTATGTTGTTGTTAATTAGTTAGCCATTGGTAATTAATTACGGAGTATTCTATTTCTTCTATTTTAAGTGATCATTTTCATTTGAAATATTTGTACTAAATACCACTAAAACTTTAGTCATTTCTTTAAATAGTACTTAAACTGTTTTATTTCTTAAATAGTATTTAATAATACACATAATATCCAGTGATGACAAATATTTGCTTGAATAATGACTAATGCATAATGACTAAAAATGCTACATTGGGAAGAAAAACACATGTGGTGCTATTTAGGGAAAGTCATTATGTTTTAGTGATATTTAAGTAAATTCCTCTTTTAATTTTCTTGGTATATCGAAAATAGTTGATGTATACTCCCTCCGTCCCTGAAAACTTTTCTCCTTTCTTTTTTCATCCGTCCCAAAAAACACTTCTTATTTCTATTAAAAAGTCACTTTTACCCCTTATTTTTTTATACTCTACCTATCTCATCATATTTTTTTACTAAAAAACTACCCATCAAATCCTACATTTACCCATCACATCAAAGAACATTTTTGGAAATTCAATACCAAAATACACTCCCCTTAAATCTCTACCAAATCAAAATATCTCATGTTTAAAGGGACGGAGGGAGTATATGAATAGATGATTCATGTCTACATTGATTTACTTTCTAATATATCAAGAAAATCATCTATTATAAGTGAATGGATGGTAAATTTTTACGTGATTTTAAGATCCATGCTCATTTTATAGACATTATTTTAATATATTGATATCATAAAAAAATTGAACTTCTGCAAAAAAACAATCATTTGTCAACTCAAAAAAATATGAGCTTTACAATATTTCACATGTGTATCTTAGGTTAACAGAAGAACATTTCCTTATTCATAAAACTAAGAAAACTTAGAGACGTAATTAATATTGTATCATTTGGTATGTGTGTTTTGAAGTTGTTTTAAGTTTTAAAATATTTGTGATTTTGTAGATAGGGTGCAATATTGGCTTTGTCTCAAATTCAATTATCTGTTTTCTATTCACGGGATTAAACTTTATTCACTTTCTTTCTCTATTTTCGTTAGTCATTTCATAAAATAATATAGTTATGTCACTGCTAGTTTTGTAGATTTTTTGATGTAATTTTTAAATATATAAATTTTATTTTTTAAATCTACATCGTATTTCATATAAAATGATTCAAAAATAATGTCAGTCAAATATCGTAAATCGAAATAGACAATTTAAATTAAGACGGGGAGAGTAATGGTTTTATTCCCATTCATGCAATTTCTCCTTTTCTAAATGGTGCAACCCTTGTTAAGTCTTTGAATATTTACTGTGGATTGTGTGCCTGTGTTGGGTTTGGGCTTCGGGTCATACTCAATTTTTCTAATTTGGTCTCCGATTTAATTTTTTGCTCCAAAATAAGAAAATTTAATAATTTAATGAAGTGGTAATACTCGTAATAAAAAAGAATAAAATGCGAAAAGTGATTAAAAATCAAAGGAAAATAAAAATGAAGTGTGTGATCTAATTTTTAAAGTACATATTTTCCCTTGAACTTTCAAAAAATACACCATTAATTTCCATACTTGCCATGAAGTGTGTGCTCTAATTTCCCTATGAGTTTTTTTAAAGTAGATCATTAGTCTTATATTATAAAAATGGTACATGATACTATGTTACGCATAAAGCCTCTGCGTACTAAATGCAAACTCTACTCTCTGCCACGAATTTATGATTAAAGTCTAATTTACCTCTTCCTAGTAACCGGCGAGCCGATCTGGAGGGGAGCCTCAAAGAAGGGGTTCATCCTTTATAAAAATGGTACATGGTTGATATCTTACAAATTTCTTGTAGTCGAACGTCTTTAACCAAATTTAAATTAAAAGAAAAAATAGTGTGGAAGACATAACTAATACTCGGCTGATGAACTTGGTAAGATGTCATTGATGAACTGTCTTTTTCCCACGCAGTGTTGACATAACTAAAAATAGTCTGGAAGGCATAACTAATACTCAGCTGAAGACATAACTAATACTCGACTGTATGTCAAAATCTTATTCCCACGTAGTGTTGACAGGGCTGCAAGAATTTGATAAAGATGTCATTGATGAACTTGGCTTTCTTTCTTTAAAAAGTTATACGCATTAGAGATTTTTCAAGAAATTGTACATAATAGGATTTCAAGAATTTACCTTTAAATAAAAAAAAGATTTCAAGAATTTATATAAAAAAAACTCATGCATCTTGAAAAAACCCCAAACCCTAATTAATTAGAGACAATTTGGATACAATGAAAATTGAATCTAATCGGACCAAATACCATTAAGAATTTTTTCTTTTATGGTGGAGTGCATATTTCGGCCCGACAGGATTGTGAGGGAGTAATAGAGAGATCGAGTTGTGTCCGATGTGCGCAAGATGCTATTACAAATAATAAAACTACCCCACTGTACCAGAATTTGATCCTAAGATCAATACGCTTCACATCTTCTTCTTGAACAAGTTGAGCAACCCATTTTCTATTATGGAGTACATATTAGAACCATAGTTTTAAAAACCGGACCGGACCGGCTGGTTCGAACCGGGAACCGGTGAACCGGACACCAAACCGGTCCGGTCCGGGCATTCAAACCGCCTTCGACTATGAACCGGTGGGAACCGGTTAAAACCGGCCGATTTTACCGCCAGATCCGGTTTTTTCAAATCTTTTATGGAGAATCTTAAAAAACGCACACCTGGGGGTTCAAACACAGGACTGCATGGGAGTAAGGAACCTCTCCAAGCCATCTCTGCTATAATGCTTCGTAAGAACTTTCAACTATTCGTGTTTTATATTCTTTATTCAAATTTTTTATCAAATACTTTTTAAGAATATATAGATTTTTTTACTAAAATTCAAAACCCATTGAGGTAATTGATATGGAGTGCATATCACACAAATATTTTATATATATATTTAAATACTAGATAAAATGTTTAAAAAAATTCAAATCACTTTTTATTTCTAAGATTTTTTAAATAAGTAAGTTTTATTTTTTATTTAATGAAACAACTCAAGTAAATTAAGTTAAATTATAAATTTAGTAAAACATCAATTCTTTATTTATAAATAGAGGAAATATTATTTTATTAATCATATATTAGTTTTTTTAATTCAATGCCACAATGTGTGTGTGTATATATTTATTTATTTATTAAAAATGTTTGAACCACCGGTTCAACCACTCAAACCACTGGTTCGACCAGTAAACCAGTGAACCAGTGCCTTGATCGGTGGTTCTGAAAACTATGATTAGAACACACTCAACACTATTCAAACAACTAAAAAAACAGAGAGGCCTTGAAAAGGCCTCCTTCACAGTTCAAAGTAGGCATAATAATGCAAAGCTTCTTCATAGTTCAGAGTAGGCATATAATCCAAAGCTATGAGACATATTAGCTTCTTCACAGAATATATATATATTATTTTTATAAAGAATCAAAGGAAGAAGAAGAAGAAATCAAACGTTTCTCCAGCTGGACATTCCAACTCCACTCTTCTTCTTCTTGTTCTGATTCTTCTCTCCGGCACTCATAATAAAGCCACTACCCAAAGAAGACTTGTTCTTATCCTTCGCCGTCATGCTCCTCAGCAGATACCTCGGCGTCTGCTCCGGCGCCGGAGTTTCTCTCCGCCTCGAAACAGGGGTCGCCGGAACAGGCTTCCTCCCGCTCTGAACCCTCTTCATTGCCGACGATTCTACCCTCACCCCGAGCCCAAAGCTCGCCTTCTTCATCTTCTCCTCCTCCGCCTCCGTCCCGGGGGGCCCGCCTTTCTTCTTCCTCAGCCTCTCGTTCCTCCTCGCCGAGTACTCTTCGTACAACTTGCCCCTCTCGAACAACGGGCTCCTCGGGTTCGTCGGATCGCCCCGATTCTCCTTGCCAAAGTCCCCGCCTTTTCCGATTTCTTGATCCACCATCATCGCAAGCGCGCGGAGCTCGCCGGAGATCGCTTCGTATTCGGGTCGGATCCCCCATTGCCGCTCCGATTTCGTCACAGAAACTGTCAAATCCCACCAAGAAAACAAATTTTACTCCAAAATCGAAACAAAATCAGATCTCAAAGATTGGGTGGGATTTTCTTGAAATTAACAAGTACCTGAAGGAGGGGTGAGAACGGTGTTGGTCGTGGGCCGAAGAGCGGGGCGGGATCGGAGACGAATTGGAGATCTGTAGGGGAGGGGAGGCTTTCTTGATTTCGACGCCATTCTGGACATGAAATTTCAGAGAGTTTCGACGAACCCAGTAGGGGAAAAAACAGAGAAAAAGTGTTTAGAATGCTGTGGAATGGGATTTGCGGCGAAGAAGATGAAGAAAAGCTTGAGGGAGAGCGGTTTATGGGTGAGTATATATTTGCAGGTTTGAATTTCGTAAAAGGAAAGTGAGTGTGTGTGGAGCGTTTATTGCAACGGTCATATTCATCATCACTAATGGCGGTTTGATTTTCTTTTTAAATGGAGTAAATTTTCAGGCTAAATAGCGCCAGTAACCCCCGTGGTTTGCAAAATAGGTATCAAAATTCCTTCTGTTTTCAAAATTTATTTCAAAAGTCCTTGTGGTTTCAAAATGCTGCACCTAGGGATGCATACAAATTAAATAAAATCTATTCAATTCGTGATTCGTATTCGAAAAGAATGATTCGTATTCGATATATTCGAATTCGAATCCGAATACAAATCATATTTTAGATTCGAATTATATTCGAATTCGAATACAAATACTAATAGATTCGATTCGTTTATTATTCGAATTATTCGAATATTATAATTTATAAATAAATTTATATATATTCTAATATATTAAATATTTGTGTACATATTTTAACATATTTTAATATATTAAATTTTTGTGTACATATAAATTTATATAAATTCGAATATTATAATTTATAAATAAATTTATATATATTCTAACATATTTTTACTACATTTTACATTATTATAAAATAATAATTTAATGTCTTTAACAAATCTATTTCAAGAAAAAAAATAGTAATATTTTCGAATTCGAATATTCGAATGCGAATTCAAATACGTCAAATATCTATCGAATCCAATACAAATGTTTTTTAAAATTTGAATTATATACGAATCCGAATACATATCACTTTAATCGAATACGAAACGAATAGTGATATATTTGCTTCGATTCGTATACATCCCTAGCTGTACCCGTGCCCCCTCTGATCATTTTCCGGCCATTTTTCCGGCGAAGAAGGAGGGCATTGCTGCATATTTACTAAACCACAGGGGGTATCGCTGCTGATATTTATTTCTCGCTTATTTTTTTTGTTTTTTCCATTTCTTCCTTTATTTGTTACTTTTATTAATAAAGGTTTTTTAAAATTATTTTTATAATGCTCATAAAATTTAAAGTTATTTTTGTTTGAAAAAATTACTCCCTCCGTCCCAATTTAAATCGTCTATTTGATTTGTGGGCATATTTAAGGAAAATAAAAAAATATAGTTGATTTTCCGAAATTGTCATTACTTTTTAGAATGGGTGATGATGAATGAGAAGATAAGGTAAAGAAGAGTGACTTATTTTAGAGATAGTTTAGGTATTTTATTTTTAAAAGTTTACGAAAACAACTAACAGACAACTTATTTTGGGACGGAGAAAAAAGGCAACAGGCAATTTAAAATGGGACGGAGAGAGTAACATATAATGTATATGTACTTCTCAAATCAGCAATATTTGTTTTTTCTGAAAAAAGTAAACTTTTTTTGGAGAATTTCAAAAAAATGAAGAATAAAATAAGAAACAAAATAATAGAAAAATAAAAATGAATATCTTCTTCGAACATCTCAATTCTAAGGACTTTTTTAGGCTTGTCCATTTTTTGTATCAGACTTTTTTGTGTATTTTTTATTTTTCATTTCATTTTTCCATATTTTTATTTTTTTATTCTAGGTTTTTCTTTTTGAACTTTTCAAATAAGTACGCAACAAAAAGTGAAAATGTTTAATTTCAAATAGATGCAATGTATGTTAATTTTTTTATTTTTATTTCAAAAACAAAAAATTTTAAAATTTTAAAACATTATAAATAAAAAATTGAAAATAAATCAGAAAAAAAACTAGGAAAAGAAAAAAGAGATAGAAAATATTTAAAAAAAGAAAAATACAAATAATAAACGAAAAATAAAAAATGAGCACGAATACCCCTATGGTTTAAAAATTATGTGCAAATGCCCCCTCTTCGCCGGAAAATGGCCGGAAAATGATCAGAGGGGGCACGGGTGCAGCATTTTGAAACCACGAGGACTTTAGAAATAAGTTTTGAAAATAGAGGGGGTATTGGTGCCAATTTTACAAACCACAGGGGCACCAGAGCCATTTGGCCTAAATTCTCAAAATAATTCTTTGTAATAAGGTGTTTTTTCAAATCAGTTTTCAAGAAGTTTTAATTACCTACGTGATCGTCTATAATTGATATTTATTCCCAAGATGATTCTTCGTAAATAATGTTACTTAAAATGAGGATTAGTTGGGGATATTTTAGTATTTTTATCCGCTAAATTTAGAATTAATTCTTAAAATGATCATTTATAATGAAGTGTTTTCCCAAAATGATTTTTTCTAATTAAAGATGTGTATTTGATTTGAAATTTAAATTTTTTTATAAGTTTTAAAAAATTCATGAATTATTTATAGTCAATGTATTTTTTCAATTTTCTATTTAGTTGTACAGAAATAACTGTTTCAAGAATATACTTTAAATTTGGATGATCAAAATACCTAAATATCTCCTAATTATTCATCATTTGAGTAACATTATTTACGAAGGACTATTTTGGGAATAAATCTCAATTATAAAAGACCATGTAGGTAATTAAAACTTATTGAGGACTGAGTTGGGATTTGGGAAAGCACATTATTACAAAGGATCATTTTGGGAATTTACCTCTTTAAATTGCTCCAAATAATTCTAGAATGTAGTCTACATTTTCAACTCATTCCATCTTCTCTGATTATATATATATGTATGTGTGTGTGTGTGTATTATAAAATAAAAATATAATATTTTAAAAGCATATCTCAAAATAAAATTATTGATATTAAATTTGTATCATAATTTAATGCATTTTTTCCTTAATTCTTGGTCTTAGTCTAGAAAAACATTGACAACAAAGTTTAAAATGACAAGAAACAAATGGAACGGAATTCGATGTATGACCTATTTGAAAATAATGTTTTTCATTAGCACGAACCTTTGAATCTTTTTTAATAGTGTAGAACATATTTAAAAATATCAAATATAAAGGTTGTCATGGGTTTTTTGGAAACAATGTTTTTAGTTTCACTACAAGAAAAATGTCTTTTAGCTTGAGTACAAACTGTCACTAAAGCCTCCGTTGTTAATTGCAAATAATTATTTTGACTCTAAAGTCAAAATCAACTTGTGGGGTACATTTAGAGGGGGTGAGGGAGCGTGTTCGGGTCGGGACGGGGTGGAGGGGTTTACCGGGAGGTTAGGGGGTAGGAACCGTCAATTTTACGAACGGGGCACCGGAGCGGCCCCGAGTCATCCCATGACTTTGCCGGACAATGTCATGGGAACCTTGGTGTTAGAAAATTGTATGATTTAAAAAACAACCATGTTAGGGGTACATCAAAAAATGTATTACAAGTTGTACTCCAAAAATATGTATTTACATTTTTAAAGGTTCACATCGATACAAAATATAGTTCAAATAAAAAAAATCACTGACATTTTGTGTTAATGTAAATCATTACACTAGCACAAAATGTTGATGTATGTCTTTAGGATACAAAATGAGGTATACTTTTTGGGATACAAATAGCTTAATTCTTCAAAAATGCTCCAATTTTGATGTCAGCTTTCAATTTTACTACTCCAGTATTACTTTATTGTAAGGTAGGGTATTGTTTACATTTTGGTGGGTTGAGTGAATTGAGCGAAATGTTGAGGGAGATTTGATGACTTTTTTACGTAAAGTTTGAATCTACTTTCTAACTAAAAGTTTAATCCAATAGTAGTGCTCACTTTTCTATATATGGGACTAGTGTTTATTTTAATTTTTCCTAGTAGGATGAATCCCAACACTCCCCTCCCCTCGAGTGAACCTTTAAAGATGAATGATGTGGAGATGATGTGGATGAGAGAGAAGGATTAGATGAATGGATTTTTTTTTACTTAGAGATGGAGGTGCTCTAACACTGGCCTTCAAGTGGACAACTGGACCATTTTGAATCTAACTAGTTGACCACATACAAATGGAGTCTCACTTCCTTGAAGTTTGTAGGGGGAATGACCAAAGTAGTAGTAAAACATATGACATATCCTCAAAATAAGAGTTCAAACATAAGCTTTCCTAAATAGGAGTAATTAACGTAATTAATCTAATGACTTAGAGTGGGGGAGCGAAATAGAAGTAAAACATTGTCCATGTACCAAATTAGAAGTTATATTCATATTACAAATTAAATATGAAATTAAATACGTTTTATAAATTAAAAAATCCTAAATTAGCTACAGCCCATGTCGCACATGTCACCGTCGCCACCCATGCCGCCATCGCTGCTACTGTCGTTGCCGCCACTCCATCGCCACAATCTCCTGCTCTCATCGCTATTAAATGTGATCACCATCTACATTGTTGCTGCCACTAGCTCCGCCACGATCGGCACTATCGTCGTTATCACCAACACAATCTGCCGCTCTCATCCCCATTTGTTGCGGATGCCTCCTCCATCACCCCCATTTGCTGCTGCCAATGTCATAATTTACTGCCAACATTGGGATCAGGACTTGCATTGTCACCAGCGTAGTGCCATGGTGTCACTGCTAAGGAAAAAAACTTTCTATAAAATGTTAACCAAAGCCATAATGTCAAAGACGATAATGCATACTGACAAAGATGTCATTGCATAATGCCAACATGTTATTGTGTAATGCCAAACATGTCAACATAACATGCCAAAAAAAAGTAAAATGTCAAGATTGCCAACATACAATGTCAAGTTTCTTATCACTATCACCAAATTTACTGAAATTAGGAGCAAAATTTAAACACAACCAATAGAAAAACAATCAAATAGAAACATTAAAAGAAAAACAATCAAATACAAAAATGAAAAGAAAAAAATCAAACCAAACCAAAATAAATGCCTAATGAAGATCTAATTTTCGGAGGAAACAAAAGAATGAATGTAATTATAACTTGGAAGTATTTCTTACTTCTACGACGCGACCTCAATTATAGAGCATTTGGAAGCTAATAAAAAATCAAAATCATAGTCATCGCGACTTGCGACAATCTGAGTTCTGATGGATATAGGTGGTGCGATAGATCCCTGCAAGGGGGAGAGATAAAGGCGGCGCTCCGCGGTGGATCTACAGGAGATGTTTCGTGACAGATCTGCAAGGGAGGAAGCTGGTGCAGTGGTCCTGCAAGGAGTGGGGTGACGGTGATGTACTACACTTGGGGTAGATTTGACGGAGGCAACGCTTCTAACTGGTGAGCGTGGTGGCCAAAAATGAGAGAGAGGGAAGAGAGATGCATGGAGGGGTGGCCGTGACGAGAGGGAGGAGAAAGATATGAAATTAATTAGAGATCAAATACTATGTATGGGGTTCTCTTTAATACTTAATTAATTACACCTATTTAGAAGAGTTTAAGTTTAAGTTCCTATTTTGAGGATATGAAATATGTTTTACTCATACTTAGGGGGTTTTCTTTTTTATTTTAGCGCCAACACCTAAAAGGCCACGAGCCGCTGTGTGCAGACTTCCAGACGAGCAATCTGGTTAAACAGGTCACATGCCATTGGATATACATTCCACACGGACGACTGAGTTAAAGACTGGGGCCGCTAGGAATGAACGTTTAGACGAAGACCTTAACAAACAAGGTGAGCTAAAACTAGCTCCGATACCATGAAAGAATTATTTTGGTGAACATGAGAAAAGCTATACATGAAAAACTATACGTGAAATTCTACATGTAAATGCATGGGAACTAAATTATTACAATAAATTATAGAACTAAATTTCCTAAAAAATCATCTAGCGTATAACATTAGGGGTATAAACAGATATTAATCCGATCAGATGTGTCATTACCAAATTTGTATTCATTTATTTTTATTGGATATCGAGTTCGGATACGGATCTTGACGGATACTAAAAATCAAAATCATATCTGTATCCGTCAGATATCGGTCGAATGTCAGATATATGATATATCCATATTTGTTTCCAATTTTTAAAATAAAAAACTTTAATTTTCAATTTAATTAAAGTTAAAATATTATTAAATCGACTATAATTTTTTATGAGATAGTTATTTTCTTATTTTTATAATTTATGATATTCTACAACAACTTCATATGATACAAATATATACACAGTACATACATGCACATATTTTTATATGTCTGCACGCATTCTTATGTGTCTACACATATATCTTGCATATAAAAATGTCATATATTTTGGGTATCAATAGACAAACAAAATATAAAAATAAAAAATTAGAAAAAACTATATATAACGGATCAGATACACAAATAAACAATTTCTTTAACGGATATCAATGCGGAGCGGATTATAAACAGATCGGATGTATGATTACCAAATTCGTATCCGTTTACCAATCAGATATCCTTAATCAGATACGAATAATAATCGTTTTTAACGAATGTGGATACAAATACAGACGGTAATCGAATTTTTGATTATCCATTCACCGCACTACATGGCATGCAAATCTGGTCGAGCGCATATCATGCTTGACATGATTTATTTTCTTAAGTGCACATAATTTATTATTTCCCAACACCATTGACTTATTGTAAGGTTGGTCTCTTTTGTGTTTTCCAAATTTTCAATGTCTTCATACTTTTTAAGCACGTACCACATATACTTGTTCCTCCATTCGGGTTCTCAACGTATTGGATTTGCACAAAGTCACAAACTGCCAAAGTTAGTTTGAAGAAACTAGCCAAAATTGGAGGGATAAATTAGTCTTGATTTACTATTCAAATACTCTCTCCGTCCCGAAAATTCATTTCTCTTTCTTTATTTTGGCATCCCACAAACTCTTTCTCATTTTCCTAAAAAAGACACATCTACCCTCTTTGTTCACGGCAGGACATGGGGTATGTCAAGGGTAAAATAGTCTCTCCTTGTGTTTCATTAAAGTCAAAATGGAAAGAGGTTTTTGGAACGGAGGGAATATTAAATATATTTTGAACTTCTCGCTTAATTTAAATACTAAAAAGCTCACTCTCCAAAACTTATCCAGAAGAAAGCTTACACTATATATTGCAATATAGTTAATAGTACTAAAATATGTTAAATATATTTTAAATCCAAAGCTTGAAAATAATAATCCCAGCAAATTTTTTATCCATATTTTCCCTTCTACAAAATGGCAATTTCTAAGCCAAAAGTTATAATTTGTGCATTATTTGTCATATGCCTATCACTCTCCCATGCACGCATCCTTAAAAATAACAATCCCTGCAAATTTTATGATGTTTTAATGGAACTGGGATTCAGCCCCTCGAAGATTGAAAAATATAAGGGCTTATCTGCAAATATCAATAGAGTCTCTCCCGGCGGGCCGGATCCTCACCATCACAATACGCCTTTTGCGGCCCAAAGAGAAGCGGGCATGCAATACCGCTCAACAATATACAAGTAATTAATGGAGGTATGTAATTGTATATTTGTAATTTTGTATTCCCTCCGTCTGGTTTTAAAATAATTGCTTTGTTTCCTGGGATGATTCGAGAGTGCTCCGGTGTCCCGTTCATAAAATTGACGATTCCTATCTCCCGGTAAACCCTCACTCTGCTCCGACCCGAACACACCCCTCACCCCCTTCAATTGAACCTCTCCAAGTTAATTTTAATTTTGGAGTCAAATTGACTTCAAAGTCAAAATTAACTTGGGGTGCAATTGAAGGGGGTGGGGGTGTTCGGATCAGAGAGTTAAAGGGATAAGAACCGTCAATTTTACGAAAAGAAGACCGAGGCATCCTATGACATTGATTCCCAATGTCAAATAAATGTCATGCGAACCAAAGGGGTGATGAGGGTGTTCTCCTGACATTGGAAATCAATCTCATGGGATGACCCGAGAGTGGTCCGGTGTCCCGTTCATAAATTGATGAACGGGACACCGGAACACGCCTGAATCATCTCATGACATTGATTCAAATGTCATGGGAACCGGCTCTACTATGATATACTTCTATTAATGATGATACTAATTACAGCATGGTTATGGGTGGACTTGAGTGCTCGAAAAGATTTGTGAAATGAGGTTGACACAAGATCTATTCAAGTTGAATCTTAGTTCCACCGAAATGTATAATGAACAAGTAAATTCAGAGGAGGGAATAAATGTAAAATGTTCATTTATAATATGCACGATTGATATAATGTTTTTAAGCATAAAGTGCGTGTATCGGTGCATGTGTTAGAGTGAAATTTATGTTGTGAAATAACCTCATATAGCGTTGTGGTGCATATGAATACATGATGATCGATGGCACGCTAAACGAGCAAATTCTAGTGGTGTGATGGCCTTGTTTGGGAACGTCATTTTCGATTAACGTTACTGTTTTAGATAAATTTTTAACGATGTGGATTAATTTTGAAAACGATAACGCTAAAGGCTACCGTCAGATAGTTTTTTCAATATGTTACGCTGATGCTAAATGGAGCCGATAGAATTATATATTGTACTCCCTCCGTCCCACAAAACCCTTCTCCTTTCCTTTTTCATCCATCCCAAAAAAACTCTTTTTTTCTATTAAAAAGTCACTTTTACCCATATTAATTCTTAACCTATCTATCACATCACATTTTTTCCCTATTAATCTACCTATCACACACATCCTACTTTATCTATCACATCAATGGCATTTTTGGAAAGTCAGCACCAAAATATACTTCTCTTAAATCCTTTAAAAGTCAAAATGGGAAGTTTTATGCGGGACGAATGGAGTATATTGTAATTAGGGGTGGACACGGTACGGTTCCGGTACCGCCACCCCGAGTAACCGGAAATGATACCGTGCCGGCCGGTACCGGTTCCGGTACCGGACCGGCCGGTT